CCCCCCCCCAAACAAAATCGTTATGTACGCCCCTGAATCAAGCAATCAAGAACATTTTTAGTCCTGTGATGTTTCCTCTTTGGATGCTTGACTTGAGTTAATGGACGAGGCTCAGCACCTTCCATATATATACATATATAGGTTGCCAGGCAACGAAACTTACACCCACAACAGCTAAATCGTCCGGGTAGTCAACAAAAGTTGTTGCATATGTTGCATATGAAACATTTATAATACACTAAAATCTGATTAAGAGCAACAACTCATGAAGTAATTATCAGAAAACCATTAGAATTTGTTTGTTTTTATAAAGTTCTGCCCCATGTTAACATTTAGTATACAAAACTTTTAATATCATGGATTTAGCTGTTCAAGACATAAAAATTCATTGAAAATCAATATACTTGTTCATCTCAAGATCTTAAACTCTGTGTATCAATCTGAAGTCAATCGAATGATAACTTTAGCCTTTAGAGCGTCACAAAGTGATCAAGGGCCATAACTTTGGCAGTAATTATAGGAAATCACTGAAAATCAATAGGATTCTTTGTCTCATGACCTTAAACTTTGTCTTGGCCAATCAAATATATTTAAAGTCAATCGGATCTTAACTTTGGCTTCTAGAGCGTCCACAAGATTTTTTGAAGTGATCAAGGGTCATAACTCTGGCAGTAATTATCGGAAATCGCTGAAAATCAATAGGCTTTTATGTCTTATGACCTTAAACACTGTGTATAAATTTAAAGTCAATCGGATATTAACTTTAGTCTCTAGAGAGTCCACAACTCTGGCAATAATTATCGTACAGGCAATAATTATCTGACAGACAGACAGACAGGGGCAATGATGACATAATATGTCCACATGAAAATGTAAGCGTTTAAAAACAGTAAATCTTTTCCCCAGGATACAGGAAATAACTATATAAAAAATTTTTATAGATGTTATTGACAATCACAGATCATTCTGGATAATATTACAATCAACAATGTGATCAGATACATGTAGTGCCCTAAAACATGATGCTTATGAGAAGTCATTTAGTCCACTAATTATCCTTTCACAAAATAAACACATAAAAACAAAAATTTCCCTCCTACATCAGAATTTTAGAAAGGATTGTCTAAGATTAAGAACCAGAATATCTTTTTTGTGTTAATTTCTGCATAGTGATTTTGCAAAGGCAATAACTCTAGCAGTAATTATTGGAAATTGTTGAAATTCAAAGAAGCTTTGGTTTTAAAATATATATATATGGATAGGCCTACCAAATGGAAAAAAAAAACAAGCTAGCAGAGAGGCTGATGTCCTCCAGCTCAATCCCAAAATGCATAGATACATGTAGCACACTCATGCTCGTACTCCAACGGACCTGTATTTCTTTATATTTTAGATTTACTTAAAAGAAAACAAGTGTTGCAATACAAGATACGCCCACATTTTGGAAAAGATAGACAGAGGAACAAGCTAAAAACATGATTTTTCGCACAGTCAGGAGCCATAATCCAGGAAGTGACCGTCTGATATGAGCGAATATATTTCAAGTTTCATCAAAATCGGAAAAAAATTGTGACCTCTAGAGGTTCAAGAACCTTGGTATTACATACTTTTGCACTATTTGTGTACAAGGAGCGGTCAACTTATCAGGAGGTACCAAACTGATTTTCACACAATTAGAACTCGACCGTCATTAGGGTGTCCACAAACTTAAAACATGATTTTTCGTACAATCAGGGGCCATAATCCATGAAGTTACGTCCGATACATGCCAATATTGAAAGGATCCAAGATCTTTGGGATATAAACCTATGTTTCAAGTTTCATCAAAATTGGATAAAAATTGGGACCTGTAGGGTGTCTACAAACAGGCAGACATGGGCGACGACAATATTTGTCCACATGAAAATGTTGGCGTATAAAAACTCCCTCCCTAACTGAAAATTTAAAACAAGAGCGCTATCTCAACTAACTGTTTCCAAATTTATTCAATTTACCAAATGTGATTTCAGTGCCCAACTCTGTATGTTTTTTATTTAATCGTTTTTGGAACAAATTACTTTTTCTATGAATAAATGATTTTAAAAAGCATTCATTGCTAATAAATAAATAATATCAGATTTATATTTAACGAACATATGTCAAAGTTATTCCTAAATGACAATGCTTCTCACAAGAAACTGCTTAATAAATTCAGCGTCTTATTCTGTTTAAGCCGCTTTACAATATATCATCAAGTGACAAAGCTTTTCATAAGAAACTCTTAATATCAACTAACACCATTTCCTTTTTTTAACCTATTTCTTTACAATGTGGCAATAGTGGCATCTAATATCTAAAAACTCATATTATCTAGTCTTTGAATGATAATAGTTTCTTGTTTCCAATGTCCTTTTAGAGTCTACTGTATATATGTGCCTTGACAAAGCTTTTCATAAGAAACTCTTAATATCAACTAACACCATTTCCTTTTTTTAACCTGTTTCTTTACAATGTGGCAATAGTGGCATCTAATATCTAAAAACTCATATTATCTAGTCTTTGAATGATAATAGTTTCTTGTTTCCAATGTCCTTTTAGAGTCTACTGTATATATGTGCCTTGACAAAATTGTCTTAAAGTCCTGATGCACCATTTTAAGCAATAGGAAATAGGGATCACTTGCAAAATAAAATATTGTGAAAGATGAATATCATTTCAATAATGGCCCAATTCCATTCAGTATTTACAAAGATATATGAATTTGAAAATTCATTGATCTTTGCTGTTTGCTATGTAATAAGCATGCCACCATTTTGTTGTCGACAAAAATTTAATGATAGGCCTGTTTTATATACGATTTAATCCAAGCTGGGACATTATCTAGCGTTGGTTTTTGATTTTGTTTTCTTAATAAAATGTTAAATAGTCAATGTAAGTACATATTAGTGTGGATTAAGCCAAGACAAATATGATATTGTAGGGAAAAATGTCAACGGTACATTGCTACTTTAATCAGAATCCAAACTTAATAATTTGCATGCAAAATACATGATCATAAACCCTCTTAAATAATGATTAACATTAACTTATTATTAATGATTTAAGTTATTACGTTTTATGCATTATCAATCTACTTTTTAAAATATATATGATAACTGATAACTGATAATGGCACAATGTATATTGTACGGTTACCACTGCAGAATCGTTTCCCTTCCAAATCTAAATAATACTGAGGTATTAAATATACACAAATATACATGTATCGTATTTGTAAAGGTCAATTCCAACAAGCCAACAGTGAGGCTGATGTCCCTCGCCGAAATCCTAAAATAACTAGATGACACATATTAATTAATCCCACATTTATTTTTTTCAAAAGTATTGAGCAATCACACTATACACTAAGTTTCATAACTCTATCAGATAGAATCAAGATTATCTTGTTCCAAAGCAATGACCAATGAAATTGATTAGCTCTACTTAGCTTTAGCTCCAAATGTTAATCATTGAACTCAGTCAAGACATTCACCAAATGAACATCTACATCAAGTTTAAACATTCTACCTCAATTAAAAGCAGAGTTGTTATGTTCCAAAGTCTTGACCAATCAAATGGCTTATCGCTCCTTAGTCTAACCAGAAAATTTGCACCTTCGAACTTTGTCAAGGTAATGATATAATGAATCTATATTCAGAGTTCCATCGCTCTCACTTCATTATAACCAAAGTTATCATGCCTCAAAGCATCAACCAATCAGATTGCTTATTTCTGCTTACTGTAAGCAGACAATGTTCATCATCGAACTCCATCAAGGCATTCACATAATGAACGCCTACACCAAGTTTGAACATTCTAGCTCAATTAGAAGGAGAGTTATTGTGTTACAAAGTCTCGGCCAATCAAATTGCTTATCGCTCTGGTTACCCTGAGCAGAAAATGCTCATTATCGAACTTAGTCAAGGTATTTATGTAATGAAACTATACACCAAGTTTCATCAGTCTCACTTAATTAGAACTAAAGTTATCGTGTCCCAAAGCATCAACCAATCAAATTACTTATCTCTGCTTACCCTAAGCAGAAAATGCTCATCTTCAACTCCATCAAGGTATTGACCTAATATACAACTACACCAAGTTTGAACATTCTAGCTCAATTAGAAAGAGAGTTATAGTGTCCCAAAAAGTGTGACGGACAGACAGACGGACAAACCCATTTTAATAGCCCCCTGTTTTCTTCGAAAGACGGGGAACAAAAAAATGAAAATTAACAGAAACTGAGATAAAGATAAGACAGATTTCTTTTGGTGTGCACAACAGCATAGAATCATTGAGTAAACATAGTATCATATTTCTTTAAGAGTGGAAATAATTTTCAGCATCACTAGCTATTTGCCATGTATCCAAAAGATAGTCACGCAAAGCATGTAAATATGCCTACACAGCGGCTAGGCCCCAACAGCATCATATCCGAAAAGAAAAATTGGATGTTGACCAAATTTGATAAGGATCTTATCCTCTCATGACCTACACTTAAATATAGGTGTATAAAAATTATCTATTTATTTTAGTTCAATTTCATATTCCAGGATTAAATTTCAATGTAAATGTATTTACTGTACATTGATCAGACAATAATCAAACAACTGTTTGGATTAGGTGCACTGACGAATTTCTTAGTAAGAATATGATTACCTTCCAACTTAAAAACATTTTGTATGATTGTAGTTTTCCAAAATAGATATATAATTAAGCTTATTAAATTCTAAAGAAGGCATTTGTTGAGAATTAACAATTTCTAATTAACTGTACTGCAGGAGTCGAAGGGACATACTGCACTTACTAATAGGATTTTCAAATTAAGGTTTGTTCCAGATCTTCGTAGGATCAGGAACTTCAAAAAAGCCACCATGAAAATAAGCAAAGTATATACAAAAATGGAATGTTCTTTACAACGTTGACAGCTGAAATAATATATAAGACTTTTTATACACTTTCAGACTTCATCTATAAATACTTACCTTACATGATTTGTGTTTAAAGGTTCATTGTCTTTCTGCCATACATAAAGTGTTTCAGGTACTGCTTCAATCTCACATGCTAGATACACGACACCCCCAACACCTACAGCCTGAGAGACAGGACTTTCTGTAAATTCTTTGGCAATTCCTGAAATCAGAATGAAAGTTAGATATAATTAAGAAGGACATAAAGTATTCCAAATCAAAACAAAAACACAAATGCCACTCAAGGATTAGATTCCAAATCAATAAACACACCAAAGAAAAAGTTAATTACCGGTACTATATAAGCTTCATAAGGGGCACTGATAACCTCTTGATCAGTTTTTAGTTCTTTCTAAATGCCATAATTATCTACAAAAAAACTAAATGTGCGACTACTTTTGTGGGCTGCTCGGAAGAAATAGCTGCTATGAGAGCATTTTTTCGCTGCCTATAGCTATCTATCGGTTTCAATCTTAGCCCCCTAACTTTTGAAACTGTGTTTATGGACCTGAACCAAATTACGAGCCAGTACTTTGCTGTTGCCGTTATATTTTTGAAACAACATGAAAATTACTTTTTTGCACCATGTTGACTAACATTTAATTCAAGCTTACTTCAGTTGCTTGACCCATAACGTAGGCCTACTGTTGTAAATAAACCAAACAGAAAATTACTAAACTAAAGGAACTTCCTGTGTTGAAACACGTTTTCATTTTAAAATCAATTACAACATTTTACTTCCTTGGGATCCATTGTTAACAATCAGGCTACTGGATTTCTATCTGATTAAATTCATGATAAACAGTCTTTCTTTATTCATAGATTCGGGCATACTACAAATTATAAACAATCTATTGTCTGAGCCATGTTAAAAAAAAAAGAAAGAAAGTATTTTCATCATGTATGAACAAACTACTTAAGTATGATTATCAAAAGCTTACACTTGTGTCTGATATTACCTCCAGTTACACAAAATCCATTGTATAATTTAATATTCCAATACATGGGTAAGCTTTTAAAAAGCCATAATTAAGTAGTTTATTGGTACAAGACAAAAACAATTTATTTTTTTAGCTCGGCTAAGACAACAGAGCCATTTAAAGATGCCTTCCAGCATACAAACTGTGTGATTAGACAATATATTTGGACTAAAAACATATTCAAATTAATTTTCTATCAAAAGTTTGCTTCAAATTCCTCTCAAAACAGTTTAATTACAAGAAAACTACCCTACGCCTACGTCTCACAAATCTATTTTAAGAGGCCTTGTTTGTCACATGATTTGATAGAGGGCGAATCTAGCATTTGTCATTGGTCACTGTTCATTTACCATAAATATCGAAGCACAAGTAAATTCTTGGATTATTCTGTGAACATCTTTTGCCCTCCGTTAAATTGCATCACAGAGTCTAATGGACGTTAAGTCTCTCAATGTTCGCATACCAATTAGGTATTAGATCAACAAGCACCCCTCATGTCACTTGTAGAGACAGACTGCCAGTTAGAGACACCACACCCTTACATTTTTGTCCTGTGGGGCACCCCAGGGGTGTTTTTCACAGAATCTAGGATTTTACTAGTATGTATGTATACCAAATGTGCCATACTTTTCATGGAAATAACTACCCTATACATACTTTTTTGGCAATGTATCTTTAATATTGCATAATTATGACTAAAACTGTGTTTAAAAATTGTTGGATAGTGAGTCTGGCTTTTCTATACATTTTTAAAGTGTGTATAGTATTTGAACAAATTACACAAGTGTGAATTAGGTGGTAGGCTTACAATCAATATCAACAAATCAAGTTCAACCAATAGTTGTTTGAGGGTGAAAAATTCCATATCTATCTACTTAAAGAGAAGATATTGATTTTGTTTAGTCTAGTGTCTCAAAACTCCATCTCTCTTCCTTTAAATATACATGTAACAAGAAATGTATGTTGATTTTATGTACCAAGTTGGTGCTTCTATATAAAATTAGAGAAATATTTAATTGAAGATTTATGTTTTAGAAACCTACAATACACAAAAAATATACTGACAAATGAAATGAAATGAAATGGGGTTTAACGTCCTACTGTTCTGCTCCTAACCTGGGCTAATGAAGACGGGCATACGCCATACAGTGTGCTATGAGGGAAATTTTGCCCGGGCAGCGGCGCTACAGCCTACTCTTATATCGAATTCCAACTGCCAAGGGATCTTTTATGTGCACGCCAATGTGTACACGGGACCTCGGTTTTTCGTCCCATCCGAATGACTAGACAGCTGTCCTTGTCAGGCCCTCCGTCCTGCATTACTGACAAGGGGAAACCACGCCGGAAAATCCGGATGAACTTTCTCGGCCAATGCAGGGATCGAACATCCGACCTCCAGGCTAGCGAGCCAGCGTCTTGCCCACTTAGCCACGTGATCCCCAAATATACTGACAGTAAACTTCATTTATTTAACCCATGTGTTAACTGCAAGAAATTAGTAAAACTAATATGAATTCCATGCAAATCTAAAGTGACCATAGTAGAGTAGAAGTTAAATATAAAATGATGTTTTAGGCAACTATTGCACTCTTTTCCATATTTTGGGGATAGGTGTTACCAAGTCTGTAAATTGGACCATAACATCTCCTGTAAAACACTGTCTTATTCATGGATGTAAAAACAAAGAACTTCTGCTTCATGAAATAAAGATTATTATGTTAAAAACCTTGCAAACACTTTTTTTTGTCACTGTTTGGGATCTAGAAAATGACACAAATGGGTCGCAACGCATATAATAATGTAATATGAAAGTATATATACTGATTTATATTCAATCGTTTCCGTTTTACCCTAATTTCAAATCAGTTATGTTTGGCAAAATACGCGAGAAGTCTCAATAAAATGGTAATCTCTAGCGTCTGGTTATTTCAGTCTACACCGATAGTATTTATTGCCCATGCTCTCCAGATAAGAATATGGCGTCACCGTTTGACATGACTTGTGGAAAATGTCTAGCCTGGGTTTTCGAGTCCCATGTTACAAATCGAGCTGAAATGCATTATGGTACACGATTCGTGTACCAATGGTAAAATGTTTATTTTGTCTTAAATATTGGATATCATAAGTCCATCTTTTCCAGGTAAGACCACAACACCAATGTTGATTTAAATTGACAAATAATTTGTGTTTTCAATATCGAAGACTTTGGATGATATTGAGTTAGAGACTTAGCTACTTTAAAGGAGCTAAATCGCTAACATTTGGGGCCTAGAAATTGACAAAAGTGGGTCGCAACGCATATAATACTGTAATATGAATGTATATAAACTGATTTACATTCAATGGTTTCCCTTTTGTACTCCAATTTCAAATCAGTTATGTTCGGCAAAATTTCTAGCGTCTGGTTATTCCAGTCTATATACGCCGTTTGATTTGGTGCAATGTGTCTAGCCTCGTCCCTCGAGTCTCTTGATACAACTGGGGCTGAAGCACATTATGGTACACGATTCGTGTACCAATGGTAAAATGTTTATTTTGTCTTAAATATTGGATATCAAAAGCCCATCTGAATCACTGTCGTCATTCAAAAAGGATGGTAATCCGGCGTTACGAGAATGTCTTCCTGTAGGCACATCACTTTTTTATTATAGTTTTTCAAAAAGAAATAGTAAGACGTTTCTATGTCAAAATGTCAAATAGGAAGTAAACAAACAGGAAGTAAACAAACGAGAAAAGGTCGTCTGTTCATAAGGGAAGTAACTCTCATTACGCTAGAAACTTGCATAACGGTAACGTTATAGGCATCGACAAAAGTCGCAGTGGGTCAGTTAAGAGTTAAACATTATTTTTTGTAGCTGGGTTGCAATACGAAAACGGAAATTTATATTGTGATTCTTACCTCACCTACATGTTGGCATGTGAGATGTATGTTAGTAAATGTTACTGTCAATGTTTGAAAATCTGTAAGGCTTTTGACCAATCAATTTCCAGGGTTATGGTTAGAAACAGAATTATCAATCTCTGTAATGGGCAGGATTGGAGAGATTTTTTTATGCCAACCATATTTAAATTTTCAAAGTGGCATCGAAATCCAAAAGTTTGATACAGGTTGTCAATACATGCAATTCATGGATATTTCAATATGTGTTAATCTACGCACTTTGGTATACACCCCAAAAAATTTAAATAAGGTACTTGAATTTTAGGAGACCAATTTTATCACCATAAAAGGAAATTATTTATTGCAGACTTGAGTTTATCTTTTAAATTACAGAAATTTTTACAATGCCTTTTTAAATAACACGCCATAAATTTATTTTAACTATAGGCATAAGTATATGAGACTTTTTGTCCCCAACCTCTCGAAGAGAGAAAGAGAAATGGGGGTTAACGCCCACTCGACACAAACTAGGCCTTTTTTCAGACCAACATATGGTTCAATTTTATTTCAATAATTCGCTGGTGCGTAGGGTTTTTAGCAGTGGGAGGAAACGGGACGACCTAGAGAAACCTACAAGGCTGGACAGGTGACCCTACTTCTTGTCACGTACCTTTCGAAGAAATCAGGGGACTATCAACATGGGTCTGTCTGTCCGTCCGTCCGTCCATCCCTCCGTCACACATACTTTTTGGGAGACAATAACTCTGCTTCTAATATGGCTAGAATTTTCAATGGAAAATCATCAATGCTTTATAAAGACATAAATATGCAATTAAAAATTGTATGTCGTCTAATTACTTTTTCAATTTGGCAGGGGACATCAGCCTTGTACCTCATTCAATCTGTCATTACAAACACATACTATATACATGTGTAGGTGGAAAAAAAAATATCACAATACATTTTTAAATAACACACCATAATTTATTTTAACTGTACGCATAAAAAGCTTATCTCTAAGTATATGAGACTTTATCTAATTATAACTCATTTAACTTGTCAGAAATCATACTTTTTCCATTACAAACACATACGATATAGGCAGAAAATGAATATTAAGACTTGGTAAATTCAACCAGACAACACTTTGTCTAAAATCTGAATGTTTTCTTAAAGTTAAAGGAACAATTCTCCTTGTCTTATTAAAAGATTGAGTTTCAGCCATTACAGATCATAACTCTAAATTTCACGAGAATTAATCCAGTTTTAAGGAAGTTTCAAATAAATAAATCTTCAATTCAC